AAGAGGGCTTGCTTGTGTGGCTGACTCTGGGAATTTAGCCTTTGAAAAATCTCCTATATTACTAATTGATGAGGCTGTTTGCTATGTCTGTGGCACTAAAGCATACTGTACTAACTTGTCTAGCTTATTCGTGGAAATAGTGTGATATATGATGGATACCTGCTTTCCTTCTGGGTCTGGAGTTTCGGTAATCATGGCTTTCACATAGGCAGTATATGCAAATGTGAGGGGTTTGGGCCATAATCCTGAAAGACAATCGTGAACACTATAATCCCAAATGTTGAAATATCAATAGACCAAAGTTCCTAAAGTCTAAATTCTTAAAATCACAATTCCTAAAAATCAAATCTCAAAACTGTAATTCTGGAAAAAATAATAAAAATTATTTAAAGACATTTATTGACCTTCTTAAAAGGGTATTTCATTTAAGAAATATATAAAATCATGACAGAATGCTTCATAAACCACTTTACACAATAAAATAGGCAATAATAACGTACAAATATTGCACCAAAAAACACTCAGGTATACTAACAGCAGTTGCACAGGTATAATATTTATGATCAGATGAATCATATTTATAAATAAATAGGTCAAAAAGCAAAATGTATAGATGCATATCACTATGGTTGGTAATTGTGTACAACTAGCTTTATAACTGTGGTCATTTGAAATACCATGTCAAACAACCTAAGTCTTTTGACAAGATGGATAAAAAACTGTTATGGGTCATTACTGCATACACAATTGCCCAGCAAGCTGAGATCTCAAGAAATTTTATATTTCACAAATTACAGATTTACAAAAGGAACATCTCTTCATTTGTTGAGGAAATTTCAATAGTTTTACAAACATGTGCAATGGTTACACACAAAGTCAACTTTGTGATAATGCACTTTCGTGAATCAAATCTGCAAAAATGCGTACAAAATTAGAATTCTCTAAAAGTCTTTACATAATTTATACCTCCATCACTGGAAATTATGATGAAATATATAACATAGCAAATTATAAAAAATAATTCTAACCTTTTAAGGCAGTAAAAAAAAAAAGTAAAGCTAAAAAAATAAAATTCAACACAGAAAAAAGTATATTCCAAGGAAATATTATGGGCAATTAACTGCTTTTTATTTCCGGGGCATGTCTTTCCTTGGAAGAATATGTTCACATTTATTTTCAGTAGCACTAATCTTTTTGAAATTCTTCTACAATTTGATATGTACTGATATTAGCATTCCCTAAATTTTATATACCAACATTAGCATTCCTTAAATTTTCCCATGTTCTGTGTCATGTTCAGGTATTTTCTCATGTTCAGGTATGCAGAAATCCATTCTTCATGCACTCATATACAGACACAAATCTGGCAGAAACAACATAGTGATGGAACAGCAACACAATTGCATTAGGTGTCTTCTATTGTCCACAGGATTATTTTCTAAACAATCAGCAACTTTTCTAGCATCCTCAGGCAAATGTGTTTTTTTTTTTTTTAATTGCAGAATATTATAGGAGTACAAACACTTTGGTTACATATATTGCCTTTGCATCACCCAAATCAGAGCTACAAGCAAGCCCATCCCCCAGAAAATGCACGTCGTACCCACTAGGTATGAATTTACCCATCCCCTTCTCCCCCACCACCTAACTGACACCCAATGAATGTAACTTCCATATGTGCACATAAGTGTTGATCAATTAGTGCCAATTTAATGGTGAGTACATGTGGTATTTGTTTTTCTGTTCTTGTGATAGTTCACTTTGAATACATGAGGGGATTACTAAAATGTCCTATATGTATCATATACAATGGAGTACTACTCAGCCATAAAAAAGAATGGTGAACTAATACCTCTTCTATTATCTTGGAAGCAGCTGGAGCCCATTCTTTGAAGTGAATTATCAAAAGTGTTTTTAATTAATTAAAACCTCCTGGAATTTCATCAAGGAATGTCAATGCAGACAAAGAAGCCATTTTTAAACTGAAGTTTTTGTTGTTGCCACATTGTGTAACCAAACTACTGGTCTGATTAGCCAATCTACTGGTCCGAATCTTCTGCCAAATGCAAATAAAGACAATAACAAGGTATTATTGTTATGATGCAACCATTAATAAAATGATGCAATTATTCTGTGCATAGTCAAAAATGCATCAATTCCTTCCTTAGAATTCAATTTTTAGGATTTCAACATTCAAGATTTTAATCTTTCAGGATTGTAATTTTGGGGATTTTAGACATTAATGATTTTATGGTTTAGGGATTCTGATCTTTTGGGATTTCAACAGGATTACAGCATTCAGGATTCTCTTTCGAAATTATGATCAGCACCCTACAGGAGCAGCCTTCTATAAAATTTCTGAACTCTGAGGCTCAAACTGGCTTCCCTGGTCAAGAACATTTCATATGTGTTGTTGCAGTTTGTTGCTAGAGGAATAAGCATGTTTTTTGTAACCTCTGATGCAAAGTGCTTTGGAAACCTGAACTTGATCTCCTTCTGACACAACCTGATTCATTTTCCATTGTTGATCCTGCTCTGTAACCTTTTAAATATATTACTATAACCTTGAGAATAACTTCTGACGTGTGAATCCTTTTAGCAAATCACTGAATAAACGGTTGGTCATGGGACCCTTCACCAAACATAATGTCATGAGAAAAAGAAGCAGGATAAGGAGCTGAGAAATAATAGCAATCTACTGTTTCAGATAGAGCTGTCAGGAGGCTCTCTCTGATAAGGGATCATTTCAGCACAGGCCCAACTAAATAATAACACATCAAGTTAAACACACATATGTAGGAAGAGTGTTATAGCTAGAGGCAAAAAGTACAAAGGCCATAGAAAGATCAAACACTTGGTGGTTCCAGTGTGACTAGATCTATAGGAGAGATGTTTGATATATGTTAGAGAGATAGTCCAGGCACAGAACAGGTTTAATGTGAAGGAAATCAAATAAAAACTTACACTGTCTTACTTCTCAATACTTAAGAAATTAACAAACATTTTAATTATTTCTCTTGTAAAACGTTAGGTAATATATCGGCACATGAAACTTTTCTTACTAAATGAATTTTAAAATGTTTCTCAATAAGGAACATTGGTTTTGAGACCTTAAAAATCTTACAGAGTTTTTCTATTGAATTTAAATGAATAAGATCCATATACTATGAATAAGATTAACAACCAGAAGTGGAGAAAGAATGCTTGAGCTCAGGAGTTTGAGACTAGTCTGGACAATCTAGCAAGACCTCATTTCTAGTCTCTATTAAAAGAAAAAAAAAGCAAAAAGAAAAGATTAATGACCAGTAGACAAACCTAAATATTATTTACATATGTGACTATAGACTTGAAAAGAAGCAAAATCTCAAGTCAAATTTATCTGATAATAATTTTAAGGATGTTAAATAGGTATAGGAAATTAGTGTAATGGAACAGACCATTGAAGGTGCTTGTGAAGTGTCAGCTTGGAGATGACACCATACAAGCGTGGGAAACTGCCCTTCAGATGCAGTATGCACTTGGCATAAGGAAGCTGGTCTGCGGTACATCTACGCTTATTTCCAGGCCTACCTAGAGCTATGGTACTGACCTTTGGCCCAAACAAGGATGAAATATAACAGTAGGCGATTTATACCCTGTACTAGCTTGTTTATATTGTTTATTGAAAATTTACCACCATTCAGTACAGTTTGCACCTGGTTTAAAATGTTCCACAGAACAGCAGCCATAAAAAACCCTCAATAAACTTATACCTCAGTCCTCCTGAAAGCAAAATTACTTCCACGTATCTTGGTGGTTCATGATCCAAAGATGAAATGCATTCTGTGCAAAGGACCCAGATTGCTGTGCCTGGAAGTTTTTGACCTTTTTATGTTTACCTTTACTTTCTTTCTCATGCTTTGCCATATCCTCTTCCATTATTAAAGATTATACAAGTATACCTTGTGGATTCTCAACAATTATCTGACCCCACATAATTTCTGCACTTCCTCAATTAACAACCATATTAATAATATAAAGTTGTGTCTACTGAATGAATGCATGGTCTAAAAACCAAGAGATAGAACCCAATGTTCAGCCTACTTACAATGAAGCTTCAACAAATAGAAATTATTTATTCATTAATTAATTTAATAAATTTAATTAAATATATAATAATATTAATAACCGATTGACATACAATGTCATGTGGTAAGTACATTGTGACCAAAGGTACACTTTTTTGCACTCATAAACTGATAATCTAATGGGGAAGGTAGGCATTAAAAAACTTAAATTATTTTAGAACTATTATAGTTGCTATAAGGACATTATATTTATTGTTTATTATGCTCATTTTTATTACCAATAGTCATACAAAATTCATTTTTAATCTTTTCTAGGCCACATACATGATGTGTGCATAATATATATTCATATGATTTAATATATTCTATTGAAAATTTTAAAATACATGATATTTAGATATCAAAATTATTTCTGTAAATGGCTAATAGCAGTACAGATTGTTTTTAAGAAAGTAATAATGAAAATGTTACAATGATTTTTTAGTTTACTGTTCTTTTATAGTCATCTTCTGAAGAAGAAAACACCATAGGTAATGATAGAAAATATGTATTTAATCAAGAAATAAAATATTCATATATTAAGCAAGGTGTTGGATATGCTCAAGCAAGCAGCTCCTGCATAGATTTAATCTCTTCTTTAAAGGAAGTTTATGACTATAATACATCTCAAGTTTATTTTTATATGAGCAATTTTAAAGGAGAATGAAGGAGCCTATGCTGACCTTTGGAACAATAAGTTTTCTATTCTTTACTTAGGCTTCTCTGGTTTTATTTCTTGCTAAGTGACTCAGTGATACAAAGACAACAGAGCAATTTATTATTTTTATTATACAACATTTCATATTACATAGAGATATTGTCATTGGAAAAATAGGCTTGTGCCTCCGGATGCAATAACAAAATGACAGCTTTTATGATAAACTTTGTACTCACCAAGCTTCTGAGTCTGTTCTTCTAGTCCTTGGGTCACTGGTGCCCTGAAAACTACCCAATTACATTCATTAGCAACAGTCCTTGTTTATTAGATATTTCTGTTTCTGGCTTTATTCTAATCTGCTTGTCAGTTGTAATTGCCAACAATTTATTGAGACAAATGATAGCTTGTCACATTATTTGGTCTATATAATAAGATAGTCTTAGATTAATTCAAAAGATCTGATTCAAAGGACTCATTTGTATGAATATAAATTATAGGGGAAGTCCAAAATACTTATGGCCGCTGGAAGTCTCTCATTTAACACTCATCCTGCCATTTGCATTATTTTAACTTAAAAATAGAAGACAGTCCCTGGCATGACATTTTCTGGAACTATGTATAAAGCAATTTAGAAATTGCATGATGGGTTCAGTTAATTTTAAAAGAAAATCCTTAGCTTAACTGAAACATAATAAATCTACTCCTTCATTACTTCACGTTAGACTACACACACTGTTTTATGACAGCATTGTAAAAGTGAAGTGACTACAATATGTTTTAAAAGTGCAACAATTGAGAGAGCAGAGGTAATTAGGAAGCTTACTAGAGATTTAAAATGTGACTATTTTAATGGCCATCAGCCATCCCAGAAGTAATTAATGACAGAGAAAAAAATCTTTGAAGTTGACCTATTGTCAATAAATGAGTAGAATCTGACTTGACAGATTATATATATTTCTATGCTTCCAAAATGCAAAATGTTCTTTAAAAATAAATTACTTTAAGAAGATGCTGAAACAGCACACACACATTCTATGAGGCTATCCAAACATCTACCTAATTCTAGTTATTCAAATGCTTAATAACTATCTAAAGAAATATTATTTGATTGAATTCTAATACCACTGGCAGATATTGTTTACTCAATTACTTGTAAACAATCTACATATTTTTTATTTATTTTAATAGTCTATCTTTCACCTTCTTTTATTTTATAAAGTTCAGTGATAATTATTAACTGACTGATATATACACTTTCTGTTGTTACTTACCACCACTTTAAAAAGAGAAATTATGTTTCTCCCCACAAAGAAATTCCATGGAATACAGAATACTTATACATGAACATTTTTCACATTAAAAGTGAAGCTATCACTATCTGGGCTGAGAAATGCATGTGAAGACACTTAAGAATTCTAAGACTTTAAATATGAACATTATTTTGGAAAAACAAAATGGAAAAAAATTCTTAATTGGAGTGGTTGAGATTTGAGAGAGGAATAATATCAAAACTTTTGGAATTAGTTTGATTGGTCTAAACTAAATGTGGAAACTCATTGTGGAAAAATGAATACTTAAAGGTGTGTTCCAGCGGGTGTGGTGGCTCATGCCTGTAATTCTAGCACTCAGGGAGGCCAAGTCAGGAGGATCACTCGAACTCAAGAGTTCGAGATGAGCCTGAGCAATTGTGAGGCCCCGTCTCTACTAAAAATAGAAAAAAATTAGCCAGGTATGGTGGCCTGCACCTGTAGTCCCAGCTACTGGGAAGGCTGAGGCAGAAGAATCTCGTGAGCCCAGGACTTTGAGGTTGCTATGGCTTAGGTTGACACCACAGCACTCTGGCCCAGTGACAGAATGAGACTCTGTCTCTAAAAGGTGTATTCTGCTACATTCAGATCCTCCAAAACCCCTTCACAAAATCAATACCCCATTAAACTCAACATTTTACTGTGTATACCTGTTAATTTTGCCTTTAGACTAGACACAGGTATTTAATTTTATTTTTAATGTTATCTAAAACTTGAACTTAAATACATAATAATCATATTGATAAGCAATATTCTTTACCAATGAGTATAATTCTGATAAAAATTGTGCATGTATTTATAAATTTATTATAATTTTACAGCTTTCATAAAATGCACATATTTGATACTTTATAATCATTTGTTTAAAGGATTTATAATGATCAAAATGTATCCTCATATCACCATCTAATCATTGGCAAAGCAGACAAAAATACACACTGGGGAAAAGAATCCTTATTCAATAAATGGTGCTGAGAAAATTGGATAGCTACATGTAAAAGATCCACATGATTCACCTTTCACAAAAATTGACTCTTGCCTGGTAACAGATTTAAACCTAAGGCATGAAACTATAAGAATTCTAGAAGAAAATGTTGGAAAAACTCTTATAGACATAATCATAGGGAAAGAATTTATGAAGAAGACCCCAAAGGCAATCACAGCAACAACAAAAATAAATAAATGGGACCTGATCAAATTAAAAAAGCTTCTGTACAGCCAAGGAAACTATCACAAGAGCAAACAGACAATCTACAGAATGGGGGAAATATTCACATGCTACACATCTAATAAAGGGCTGATAACTAGAATTTATTTAGAACTCAGGAAAATCAGCAAGGAAAAATCAAACAACCCTATCAAAAAGTGGGCAAAGGACATGAACAGAAACTTTCAAAAGAAGATAGACTAATGGCCAACAAACATATGAAAAAACACTCAATGTTACTAATCATCAGGGAAATGCAAATCAAAACCACAATAACTCCAGTGATAATGGCCTTTATCAAAAAGTCCCAAAATGATAAATGTTGGCAGGGATGCAGAGAGAGAGGAACACTAACACTCTGCTGGTGGGACTGCAAACTAGTACAACCTCTGTAGAAAGCAATATAGAGATACCTCAAAGAGCTATAAGTAGAACTACCATTTTATCCAGCAATCCCATTACTGAGCATCTACCCAAAGGAACAAAAGACATTCTATAAAACAGACATCTGAACTAGAATGTTTATAGCAGCACAATTCACAATTACAAAGATGTGGAAACAACCCAAGTGCCTATCAGTACATAAGTGGATTAATAAAATGTGGTATATGTATACCATAGAGTTCTACTGAGCCACAAAAAACAATGGTGATCTAGCACCTCTTGTATACCCTGGATAGAGCTGGAACCTATTCTATGAAGTATCACAAGAATGGAAAACAAGCATCATATGTACTCACCATCAAATTGATATTAAGTGACTTAACTGACCAACACTTAAGTGCACATATAGTAGTAACATTCATTGGGTGTTGGAAAGATGGGAGGGGGAGGAGGCAATGGGTATAGTCACACCTAATGAGTACAGTGTGCACCATCTGGGGGATGGACATGCTTGAAGCTCTGACTTGGGTGGGGCCAAGGCAATATATGTAACCTAAACATTTGTATCCTGTAATATGCTAAAAGAAAAAAATTAAAAATTATAAAAAGTATCCAATATAATTTGTCATGTTTATCAATTGAAAATTTTATGTATTAAAATATTTTTTATCCCATAACACTAATTTATGTATATTCGAAATTATCTTTCTCTCAAATTTTTTATGGTAATCTCCACTGACATAAGGTGAAAAATAAGCAATTCCTAGCTATCAAGCTTAGTCTCTTGCATATTTAAACTATATGACTTATTTACTATTTGAACATTTTAAATTATTAGAAGAAATTTCTAAATAAAATCAAATTCACATCATTTAAATTTATATCTATGAGGTAAATTTTACTTATGTTTTGGAAAGAATATATAAAGGTTTTTCTCTCTCATTAAATTATTTTGCATATTCTTAAAATTGATCTCTATATCTTTGACCTTTTTGTAAAAGTAGAAATCATTAAAGGACTACATTTGGAATTCAAAACTGTAATTTGTTTATAGTGAAATCCAATTTTTTCCAGAAGAATTTTTATTTCCAATTCTATTAATAAAAATAATCAGATTGGTCATTGACGCAATTGCTGCCTGTTTGGCAATTTTCCTACAAAGCCAGGAATTTGATGAATCTTATAAACACAAATTTTACTAGCCGCTCTCTCATAGGAAAAATAATATTTTTAAAAAACTCAAAAAGAATATCATACACTCTCATAGATGAACATAAATTACCTCATATTTCCAAAGTATGCATTCTCCATTATACAATATTGATGTGGGAAAAGTTTTAGGAGACAGGGTAAGAATGCTGACTACCTATCAAAATGTATCTCAGTCACAACCCCACGGAGATTTATGATTTTGTTTGAAAACTGCAAATTCTAGGACTAATACTAAAACATCCAATTATAAGCACAAAAAATAACATCAAAAGATAAATGAATATCTGCCATTTTAATTTCCTTTTATCACTGCACTTTTCCTTTGGTCTAAAGAGTAAAATGTTGAATGTGGTAAATTAAGATAGTAACATTTGCCATGCTTGAAGCCAAAATTTTATCAGGCAATAAAATCACCTTAGAATAGAAACCTATTATTAAATGCATGTCCTTATGGAAATTCTACTAATTAAATCATTGATTTTTCAAGTTCCTTGGTTTGGGCTATGTACCTTAGAAAGAACTGATAAGGTTTGCCGTTGGCTGACATCTGGATTTCCCAAAGCAATGAAAGAACCAATGAGATTGAATTTAATATAATTCTTCTCAAACTTTAATGTGCATAAGAATCAACTGAGGATCCTGTCAGAATGTAGATTTTGATTCAGTAAGCCTGAGATTGGACCTGATAATGTACATTTCTAACAAGTTCCCAGTTGATGTTGACATAGATTATTTAAACACAACAATGAGTAACAAGCACTTAAAACCAGTTCCACTTTCAGAAGAGCAGGAGCGGCTAAGTTGATAGAGGGAAGCTGGAATAGAGTTCTAAAATTTTTTACATAAGACCTATTCTAACACCTTGAAAAACTTACTGTATAATAACAAAGCTGTATTTACAGTATAAATGAAGACATATCACAGAAAAAGTAAATCTGGTACATAGGAGAAGAATTAGGTAAATTGGTATAGGTCTTGCTATAGAAGTACTTTCCAATTAAAATGATAATATAACTCTCATGCACTGCTGATGGAAACATAAAATTCTACAGTTACTTGGGAATTACATCTTAGGAATTATTTAAAATGTTAAAGACACCTGCTGTATGATACAGACATTCCTCTCCTAGAATTTACTCAAGCAAAATAAAAGCATAATGTCCTCCCAAA